CTGTATCTTCTAATCTGTTCCATTGATCTTCAGGTCTGTTTTTGTGCCAGTACCATGCTGATTTTATCACAGTAGCTTTGTAACATAATTTTAAGTCAGGAATTGTGATGCCTCCTGCCTTTCCCTTGTTTCCCAGGATTGCTTTTGCTATTCTAGGCCTCTTCTGGTTCCAGATGAACTTGAGTAGTGTTTTCTCATATACCTTCTGACCTACTAATCTCATTCTTTGCAGATGAGTTAGATCTCAAGAAATGAGGTAGATGGGATGGGGTGACACATAGGATTATAACCTTTTATTCAAAGTCTGTTATTTGATAGTCAGTATTGTGTGTGCAGGAGACATGACAATTAAAGAAAAAACAAAATATGCATCCAGTCCAAGTCTTTGGCAAAGGGAGAGTGGGAAAGAGTGATTATAATTGCTGATTAAAATCGCAGTTCCTTATGGACAAAGAATGTCTGCCTTATATGATATGAAAATTCCACAGCTGTAATGAATCTATCACTCTATTCTGTTTCATCAGCAGAATATTATTTACTGTTTCACTAATTTAGTGCTGAATTTCCTATTCAACTAGTTAAACTTTTCAGGCTGCACTGCCTTTGGATTAATATGGGGTTTCTGTAACTGTTCTCTTTCCCAGGGAGCTCATTCGCTGTTTGAAGTGGTATATGGACTGCTCAGCAGAACTAATTCGGCAGGACCACATTCAGGAGGCCATGCGGGTAACGTATTGAGCTTACCATAGATAAGAGAGCCACTACGGCAGTTATTTGTAAGTAATCTCAATGGTGTAGTATGCAAGATAAGTGCAGATGCCCCAGTACACTGCTGCTTATAGGAATCGCCGCTTTGGGGCTGGGGATTTAGCTCAGCGGCAAAGCGCCTGCCTGGCAAGCGCAAGATCGTGAGTTCGGTTCCCGGTACCGGAGAAAAACCAAAACCAAAAAAAAAAAAAAAGGAATCACCGCCTTGACTTACCTAATTTGCCTCTCCTCACCTCATTTGCACCCTGGAAGACCTGTACGCCTGATAATTTATCTTCATCCTGGAATTAAAAATGATATGTACATAGCTCCTGGCCATCCTCATCCACCTGATTTTTCCAGTAGTATCAGTCCTCCTGTCTACTGGCTAAACTATGATTAACTCTTTCTGAGCCAATATTTGTAGCAGCATTGACTAGAATTAGGCTCTTCCAATGCTATTTCCTTATTTGGTGGTTACTAAACATTGTTCTTGGGACTGTTGTGAGTTATGTTTAAGAAAGAGAGAGAGCGGCACGGGACTCGCCATATGTGGATATATTGAGAAGAAGGTAGTCTCAAAGTAGGGCCATAGGAAGGACCTGGAATCCGTCCACAGTCCTGACCACCGTCAGCACCCTGCCAGAACAGTCTCTCTGACGGTACAGCCGACTGGCGTTGTGTGCGGCTCCAGTTGACGGGGACCCCTCATGGTGCATTAACTCCATTGGCTGGGCTTCTTTTCATGGCCACTGCTTGTGCTGTAGGGAACCACATATGAATTGTGAGGCCCTGTTTCGCTAAATGTGTTCCAGAAAGCTTTTGTCCTCTAGGAACTTACTTAAATCAACACCATACTTTCTTTTTCGATCCCTGTCTTTTCTGGTACTTGAGTTTTTGGGGTTTTTTTCTAAAAGTTTTTTTAAATTTATTTTAAAAATAAAAGAAGGAAAACATATTAACAAACAGACATCCATTTACAAAATAGCATAAGAAAAATACAGAGTTACAGACAAAGTGGTAGGAAATTAACAATGGTTGTTGTATTACGTATTGATATCTTCAAAGTGGTTTCTCAGGAAAACAAATAGAGACATGCAGGATTGATGAAATAAGTGATCAATAGCTGTTCCTTTCAGTAAAGCGATAGACGTCAGTAGTACAACTATGTTAGCTATTCTGTATATACATACGTACATAATTTCCCCTTCTGTCTTTTCTCTTTTCCCTCTGCTCTTTACTTTTGAGCAGTTTCCTTTCATGACGTCTGTCATACCTCCTAATTTTTATTCACTCTTAAGTTGCATTTTGAACCATGTTTTCCACACCTTTTCCAGAGAGTGAGAAAAGAAGTAGTTCTGCTTCTTCTTTGTCTTCTTTTAATATCACATCATCTTCACTAAGTACTGGGCCCATGATTTGTTCTTCTTGTCCACGTGGTAATAGGCTACCACATGTTCCCTCAAGCATCATCAGACGAAGGGGCAGGATCGACTTAGAGAGTGCGGTTTACCCTGCCTCTTCTCTACACTCCCTATAAAAATCGGAAGCTACAGGTCTCACTTCTACCCTGCTTCATGCAAATGTCTCATGAGCAGTCACCATCTGTTTTGGGTGCTAAGATGCCAAGATGGATGAAACCAGCCCATCCAGGACACGCTCCCAGTGTTCTCTGAGGAGGCAGGCGTAAACCCAGGTAGAGAGTAGAGCAGAGTCTGAGCTCTGTTCTTCGCAGCATCCCAGCACCTGTCAAATGAGTGTAAGAGTTGAGAAGGTAAAAGGTGAGTTAAGTGCAAACGATGTCACGTGAGCCCATGAAATAATTGCTTAAGGGTACTGTGGGAAGCTCCATAGAAGAAGTTTCCGGAGAACCCTATATTTAGCCAATATTTCAGGATACTTGTTACACATATCAGACACTGTTTTGCCCCTGGGGGTTCAATAGGGGTCCTAGCAAAAAAGGCTAGGGCTTCATAGCACTTCTATTCAGTGGATTAAGATAGACAAAAAATATGCAAAACAGATAAATGTATAAAGTTAATGAAAAAACAACAAATGCTATGCAGGAAATAAAGATGATAAGATAAACCAGCTGGAGAGAAGGGGATACTTTAAATCATGAAACCTCCCTAGAGAGACAACTTCTGAGCTGAAATGAGTGTTAAGATCTGAGGGACAAACATTCTAGGCTGAGACAATATGTTTAAAAGCCTAGGTTGGAGGGAGGGGTACAGAATACCTGTAATCCCAGCACTACGGAGGCTGAGGCAGGAGGATTGCTTCAAGTCTGAGGTCGGCCTAAGCTCCATAGTGAGTTCATGGCCAGCCTCAGCTACATAGCAAGATCCCGTCTCAAAGAAAATAAAAGCCTCAGTAAGGCTTTCACCACTGCTGCGATCCCCACCAGCACCTCCACAGCTCCTTCCATGGGGCCTTCCACCTCAGAGAAGAAGACAGGCTGAGCTTCCTTCCAGGGCCAGGTGCTGGCACAGCCGGAGGCAGCCACAGCAGTGGCGGGGCAGTGTGTGTGGCGGGCAGCGTCCCTGCCAGCCCGGCCTGCCTTGGCCGGGAGCAGCTGAGGAGCCAGGCACTGACGGCTTCTGCAGAGACTACCTGGCCGATGTGGACACCGGCCCACTACCAAAACCTGAGGCAGAGAATGGGTACTTCTGTGCTGGCACCTCTGGGCGGGCAGGAATGAAAGCCGACAGGAAGGTGACAGAAAGGAAAACAGGCTGGTTCGGAGGTCAGACTAGCTGATGTGGGTTGATGGCCGACCCATTTTCAGAGGTGGATAATTCTGGAGATGACCAGATTCTTACCAGGGAAGAGTAGAGTTCCCATTTGGGGAGCACTTTTCTAAGGTGCTTTCATGCTGTCCATGTAGGCCGTCTGTCTGTCCCCACGTGCCGCCCGCCTTCAGTGTTCTCTGATACACCCGACACTAGGTTTCATCGGGCCCCTTCTTCCTCATCAAGTTTTAGTTTACAGGCCGCCTTGGCCGGAGCAGTAAGCTCTCTCCAGCCCTTCATCTGTGGCGGGGAGTATGTTCTGGTCCAGCGTCTGTCACTCTAGTATCATCAGCTGTGGAAACCTTCTTTATTACTCTTGATTCAGTATTCTCACTACTTACAGCTCTGGGTGACTTATATATATTCATGTAATTCAAGTAACCAGCACCCACATGTTTTGTCCAGCGTCTCTGCCTTTTCATTGTCTGAAAATCTGTGACATTTCTTTGATTAGAAAACTTAATCTTGGGTTTCACATCTGTTCTCTCAAAGGGAATTACTCTGCTCATAGCACGAGGCAAACTGCAAAATACCTCAGACTCGCGTTTTGCTCCAAATTGCAGTTTGCCACTTGGAGAGTCTTTGCCTTCTGTACTGCTTATGAACTGTTTGCAGCAGATGTCCTTGCTGGATGTGGGTGGAAGGGGGATATGTCAGGCCCACCAGCTGCCGTGCAACCTGGGACAGGTTTTCTCCGGATTTCTGTGACCTCTGGCAAGAAGGCAAGCGCTGTGGCACGCAGTGTGGCAGGATCTAACTATATTTCGGAGGTGCAGAAGACTCCTTATAAAGAACCCTCCTTCTTTTAATAAACTAAAGAGTAATTATATCCTTGCCTGTGGAGCCTTGTATTTTCAGAGCTGAAAACAATACAGAGCAGCTTAATTTCTTTTGAACTTGGCTGTTCTTAGATTCAGCTCTTTCCATAACAGCCTAATTAATGCCTTCTTAATTCTAGAACCTCAGAAAGCAGTTTTAAAATCATTTGATTATTTTCTAAGAAAACAGCTGCTGCTCAGTGACAATTGGATTTGTGAGAAAAAAAAGTTTCAAGATACAAAGTGCCTATGTCCTTCGCTGGAACTACCGATCATCTCACCCTAATGTAGAGTTTGTGGCTCTGCTCTTTGCTTGCTGCTGCGTTCCTGGGCCTTTTCAGTGCCTCTCTTACCTTTCCTCCCACACTTCCAGGCTTTGGAGTACCTTTTCAAGTTCATCGTGCAGTCCCGCATCCTGTACTCGCGAGCCACATGTGGGATGGAAGAGGAGCAATTCCGGTCCAGCATTCAAGAACTTTTCCAGTCCATTCGGTTCGTGCTCAGTCTAGACAGCAGAAACTCAGAAACGCTCCTCTTCACTCAGGTCTGTGAGCTGCAGAGCAGTTCTGCTCCCAGTTCCTTGTTTGTCTTAGCGGGGTTCCTTTGTCCTCTAGCTTCCAGTTGCAGGATCCCTGCCACGGTCCTGCCTATTGGGGAAGGGGAGATTTACAAGAAAACACTTAACAAAAATGCTTTTACTTTGAAGCCTGATATGCCTCAGCTGCCAGGTATAAAACAGCTCATTGGCTTTATATTGGAGACAGCACAAATTTGTTCTAATGAACCATTTTTAGACCAAATTTGTTAGCTATCCTACTGTGGGTTTTATGATCGTCTCACTCATAGAGGATATTCAAAATGTATAGGGAAGTTTATGTTCTAATTATGCATGTATTAATTTTTTAAATTTTTGATTAGAGCCGGGCGTGGTGGCATACACATGTAATCCCAGCACTCGAGAGGCTGAGGCAGGAGGATCATTGCGAGTTCGAGGCCAGCCTGGGCTACAAACTGAGCTCAAGGCCAGCCTGAACTGTGTAAGAAGACCCTGTCTCTAAAACACACACACACAAATTTTTTTTTTTATTAGTACTTGTCCATACCAGATGTTGAGTAGAATAAATTGAAAATGATAGGAATAACTAGAAAGCATTGATTAAGAATTGGAATTAGATTATGTTAAAAATATCAGTGTTGGATATGGAGGTGGATCTTTTGGGGATAAGAAGGGAACCAAGAGATGGAGGGAGGGGCAGGGGAGAGGGCAGGGGATGAAGACATTAAGATTCATTATGTACCTGTGCCAAGTCCCCGCAGGAACACGGTCACTGGGTACTACAGACGCGCACTAATAAAAATAAAAATTGAAAAAACAAAATGCCAAAAGAAGAAGTAAGTATTGGAAGGAAATTTTCTTCCCTGAATTCAAGCTGCCTGGTCAGCTCATCTGTCACCTTTGCATGCACTCATGTGCTAGTGAGGCTGAGACTCATTACTCCAATCACCATGGGGTTATTTTTTCTTAGAAATGAATCAGAATTCTATCTAACTGATCATAATTCTTTGGCATTTTGAAACCAATTATTAAGCAAAACCTGTCAGCCAAGTGCAGATGCCTCTGTCATGCCCATTCACCCTGTCACGGCCACGTGTCGTTAGTGCCTGCGTGTGAGAGCCAGCCATCACATAGGAGGGAGCTAATTTGCAGACTCCTCAGCTCTCACGGTTCCACACCAGCATCTCTTTTCTGCGTGTAGCTATGAGAGCTGGACTGCTGGCTGCAGGGGCTAAGCAGAGTTTAACTGGCACTCAGCTTTTTCTCCCATACTTTCTCCTAGAAGTTCCTGGTTTGAGTTTAGAACCAAAGTTGGAAGGTCAAGAGCTTGATAACAGTCAGGTTTGATGGCCCATGCCTATAATCCCAGTACTCTGAGAGGCTGAAGTAGGAGGACTGCAAGTTCAAGCTTAGCCTGGGTAGCTTAGCAACTTAGTGAGAACCTGTCTCAAAATAAAAAATGAAAAAAGAGGGCTTGCTTAGGCAGCACACATACAAAAAAGAAAAAAGGGCCAGTGATGTAGTTCAGCTCAAAAGCTCTGGGTTCAACCACCAGTACCATAAAAATAAGGAAGAGCTTGACAAACAAAAATTTCATTTTATGAGCGAAAATAGCTATGGCTCTTAAGATACATTGAGCAGACTTCCCTTTATACTTTCTTCTCTTGCCGGCAAATGCCTAGGCAGGTCATGAAAGCTTTGAGTGACCTAAACTCCAGTAAATTTTCTTGTCTTGGTTTACATTTTGGTCCTCCTGGTGTATGCCCCAAAAGTGCTTTAAGGCTGGGTAGGAACAAGGAGAAGCCTGCTGAGAAAGAGGTGCTGCAACGCCTCCTCACCCTCTTTCCACTTCCTGTCCCTGAGCGTGCAAAAGAAACTCAGACCCAGCTCTGCGCTCACCATCGCTTCACTTGCTTCTGCAGGCTGCGCTCCTCAACTCCTTCCCGGCCATCTTTGATGAGCTGCTGCAGATGTTCACGGTGCAGGAGGTGGCAGAGTTTGTAAGGGGAACGCTGGGAAGCATGCCCAGCACGGTGCACATTGGGCAGTCCATGGACGTGGTGAAGCTGCAGTCCATCGCTCGGACAGTGGACAGCCGCCTGTTTTCTTTTTCAGGTAAATCAAGTTGGGAGGAGACTCATGCTAGCATTTCTTCCCTCTCGGTGTGATAGCCAGCTGGTAATCAAAGCGTCCGTTTTATCAACCATCATGGAAGAAACCACTGACCCTTAATATGTAGCGTTTCTGGCAAACTATGTTAGAAAATGCAGCTAAAACCAATTAAATTGGTTTGTTCCTAGGAAATGTACCTGAGCATCCTGTGTTTGCCTTACTACTGAGATAGATTCCTTTTTCTTTCTTTGGAAGAGCTGCTGGGGCTTAGAAAGAAATGGAAAGGGAGCCCTCCACACTCCCTACCCGTCAAGATCACCTAATACAGACCAGGCTGTCATACAAAATGAACTTCTAGATTTATACCTAAAACCACATTGTTGGTGATTGAATTCAGCCTTGCAGGAGTACCAAATACACAAGGGCCAAATGTTAAAATTAATATGAGCCTAATACTTTTAGTAGAATATCACTCTCTTAGAATAAACCTTAGAATAAATCTGAAACATTAGCAAAACATGTATTATTAGAATTTGGGTGGATAATATTTTAAATCTGACTTTAAATCACAAGGATAACTTCTCAGCTCAGTTTTATACACTTAAAATACTACATAGATATTCCCTTGGACTTTGCTTTACCTATGTAGAGGACTGCTGATGCTACAGCTACCACCAAGAAGGTCAACTTTCCTCTACCGGCAGCTGTTTATGGTTGACACATCTTTCTTCTCCAGCTCCTGGATGAAAATGTTACCCACTGTCTGGACACACTGTCCCTGAGGCCAGTGCATACACTTCAGCTTTGTATGCTGCTCTCAGAGCACCTGGGGTGGGAAACAGCAAACTCCCCTCAGTGATACACATTTCTGCTATATTTGTGTGTGTGTGCTGATTTACATAATCACTTAAAATTCTTCTTGTTAAAAATGTGTATGGCATTAGACCATGTAATTGGATTTGGAGGTGATAAGGTGACAAGCTACCACTAAATTTTCATTTGCATTTCACTTTCATTGAATGTCCAAGTCACAGCATCTTCCCTGAAGCAAGAAGTTTTTCACCAGTACTTAAACAACACTTAAATTCTCAGAGCTTATGGGCTTGGTGTCTTCTTTAATAGTACCAGTAACAAACTACTATTGTGTCTGGAAGCAGCTCTTGGTTGTTATAAATCCCACCATGTTGGTATTTTGTTCTACAAAATACAGTAACAACTTTCCCTATATCCAGGCAGCCTTTTAAACATAAGATAGCTGTTCTTCCATCCTATTTGAATAAATATTTGATAAAGCAGTGCCCAAAACTCTTATGTCATGTAATTTATTTTTGTCTGAAAAAGTTTTCTTTCTGAATTTCATGTGAAACACCAAACTGTGGTCAAATATGAAATTCAAATAAGAAATGCAAATGCCATGGCTAGTATGTGTTCATGATAATCTGACTGAATCATGCTGACAGGTATGATGACACCTGCAGGGTGAGTCGTGGACCACATAGGAGTACAGGCTGCCAGAAACATGTTTATACTTGAATTTCACTTTATCTTCTAACAAACTCTGTGAAGTAAACACAGAAGAGGCCATTAGCACCCCATTCTATAGATGAGAAAAATCCTGCCAGGGGAAGAGGCATTAACCTGCCTAAGACCTAAGAATGAATTAGTAAGATTGCTGAATTCAGGGTTCTAAGTAGTCATCTCCTAATGTAAATACTATTCAGATAACATAGGGGAGAAAAGAACAAACACTGAATGTGTGCAGTAAAATTGACAATAGCTTCACCATAATCTGGTGACTAATTATCAAGGGATATGACAAGACAGAGGTTGTTCTCCTATTCCTGTATATGTATTGCTGTGGACACCCAGGCAGCAGTGAGAAGGGACAGATCTGATGACTTAGCAAGGCGAGTGCACACCAGGACGGACCTGCCAGGTTGATGTGGAGACCAGTCAGTGAGCATATCGAGCTTGCCAATCTAGGCGTGGTAGTTCATGCGAAGTGCGACATTTACATGGAGTCTTCACTATAATCTGTGCTTGTAATTTGGAATGTAATCATTAAAGACATTTCATGTGGAAGATTCATCCTGCATAAAATGCCATGGATGCAGGGGATTGAAATGAGAATAAAGGAAAGAAAGATGGAAAAGCGATGTTGAGGGACCACTTACAATTTCCAGGCACCAGGCTTTTAGGCCCTGGTAAGGAAGGGGATGACCTCTGCCTTTGATCCAATTTAAACTCCACCTTCTTTGAAACCAGTTCAGTCCCAAAGTGCTACTGGCTGCTAGCTGTAGCTAATTCTACTCCAACAGGCTTACTCGTGTTTGTTTTCTGTCCTAGAATCCCGCCGCATCCTGCTTCCTGTGGTTCTCCATCACATTCACCTTCACTTGAGGCAGCAGAAAGAGTTGCTGATCTGCTCAGGAATTCTCGGCAGCATCTTCTCCATTGTCAAGACCAGCTCTCTGGTAGTAGCCCCACACCCGCTCCACTCCACCCGGCTCAGCTCTGCCCTAATCTTGTGTTATTCTAGTCAGAGGCAGACCAATAAAGATCATTTGCATACTTCTTTGCAAGAGAAGTCTTCATAAGTGGCAGGAAGGTACCCAAGTGAATGGAGGCATGAGTGTGCCCAACAAGCTTCTCAATATGGCATATTCTTGCTATTTTAAAAAGTTTCACCACCGTAAATCTATCCCAGAAATATAAGAAGCCCAATGCTATGCCATGTTTGGTTTTTATTGAAAAATATTAATTCTGTGTACGTAGGAATTTCTTAGGGTACCATGCATGAACACAGAGAAGTAGACCCAGACTGAGGGGCTGCTTGCTTGTTCAGACCTTCTTGTCAGCTTCCTGTGCTTGACTCTGCTGATGGCATTCTTGCACTGTGCCAGATAAGGCCGAGATATACGAGAGGTAAATGTCGCCCACAAGAGCTCTGAGGCTCAGGGGCTGTACAGTTGTACTTAGAGGTCAGGTTTCAGCCAATGTTTCTGCCTATTTTCTTCCGTTTTTTTTTTTTTTTTCTTTTTTCCTTTTAAAAGAGTAGATCAAGAGAAATGTGGCAAGGATAGAGTAAAGGAAAGTCATAGGTGAGGGTGGGAATTTATTTCAGTACTGTTTATTTTTTATACTTATAATAATAGAGATATATGTTTCTTACAGAAAATTTGGAGACTATAGGAAAGTTTAAAGAAAAATGAGGAAAAAGAAGGGGTATTATTACACCATTTTATTAAGTTAAGACTCCTGGGTAGGGCTGGGGATTTAGCTCAGCGGCACAATGTCTGCCTGGCAAGTGCAAGGTCGTGAGTTTGATTCTCAGTACCAGAAAAAAAACAAACAAACAAAAAAAGACTCCTGGGTAATACAATCTCAAGTGAATTTAAAATAGAGAACATGACCCAGAGGCTAGACTACATGGAACATATAAGACATCTTTAAAAAAAAAAAAAAGAGTATGTTTGATTTAACAGAGGCCAGGGACTCAAAAGAGAGTTCTGGTGTCTAGACTTAAAGTACCATCTCGTTTCTGGAGTTCAGCTTGTCAGAGAATGCCTGTGATGGTCCCAGTGACCCTGTTGTTTGCTCTTGGCTCCAGATAAGCAGATAAGACCTGGCAGGTCTCCTTCCCACCAGGCCTTAGAGAAGCCACAGCAAGCACAGAAGGTCTACGAGTAACCTAAGGTCATATCTGAGGGAGTGCACAGCTTATTGCTAAAGGAAGAAGACAAAATCAAGGCAAAATTTAAAAAAGAAAAAGAAACAGGAGGAGTGAGAGCCAGCAAACACCTGAAGGAGACAGTTTCATTGTATTTTGGGGGATAAAGAGTTAAGTATAATCTGTTGCCTACAAGTACTCAAAGGTAGGTCACTGAAAGAAGTGCTAGGATCACTTCAACAGACAGGAAAGACGATGTTAGCGCCAAGAACCATTCACGTTCTTCAGGTGGAATGGGCAGAGTATAGTTATATTAGATGGATGGCTAGAGGGAAGATGAAGTTTAAGCTCCATGAGAGCAGAGATATTATCTCTCTTGTTCACCTTTATATATTCAGGTTCTCAGACAGTGAATGGCACATAGTAGATATTTAATGAGTAATGGATGGACAGATGGATGGATGGAGTACACTAGGACCAGTAGTAGTATAAAGATCTTGGAGAAGGAGCAATGGGAATCTTTTTGTGTGATAATTAAAATCAAACTACAGACTTCGAAATGAGTGTGAGAAGTCCATAAAAAGATCACACAAACTCTTCCAAAATTCTGGTGGCTGAAAAGCAGCCTGTGGTGAGGAGACGTGCTCCACTGTTTTTGTGAGGTTTCCAGAAAAAGACAGACTGAAACTACAGTCCGTCAGATGGACCGAGGACAGGATAAAAGAATTGAGAAACTCAAAATAGGACCCAAGTGTATGTGGACAACAGTCAAAGCTGGTAGAGATTGAGAGCAGCCGATAAGAAAGCCTTAGGAAGAGAAGATACTTCTGTGCGCGTTAACACTAGTGAGGATGCTGCCGCCGCACGCTGTGATATTTTACCGTCTCTCAGACGGAATTTCTTCACGTGTTGGTGGGGTCATACTTTCTCTTGACTGTGCTAGAGAAATCAAACTTCTAACTCAGGACGTTGACCTCTGCCCTGTTGTCAAAATTAATAAATGCGTCTGCCAGAGGTTCTGAACTGTGCAGGTGGAGTTGGTAATGGCACCGCGCCTGTGCAGCAGTGGCCGGTGTGCCTCGCCTCCTTTCCTAGCCCCCATCTAGCTTCCTCGACGCCGAACATCGCTGGCCCAGAGCTTCATGCTGAGCTTCAGTGGGAAGACTTACTCCTGATGTGTGTGCCAGGTAAATGCCATGGTGGCCTGGTGCTAACAGCGTGCTCTCTCGCTGCTCCCTCCAGGAGGCAGATGTCATGGAGGAGGTAGAGATGATGGTGGAGAGCCTCTTGGATGTGCTCTTGCAGACTCTGCTCACCATCATGAGCAAATCGCATGCTCAGGAGGCGGTAAGAGGGCAGCGGTGCCCGCAGTGCACAGCCGAGATCACTGTTAGTAACTAACATTCAGGTTTTCTTACCTTCTTTTCTAACCTGGGGCTCCTCCACATCACCCCATCTCACCATCCCGACGCCATCGCCTCTGCCTCCCCTCCCGCATGGTGGTCAGCATGCTGCCCTCTTCCCTTCATGAGTCTGGTTCTTCTCTCCACCTCAAAGCGGTAGGTTTATATTTCCCTTTAGGGACTCTTTCTAGTCCTGTTTTCCTGTGTGTTCTTTCACAGGAAAGAACAAGTCGTCTTCTATAATACAGAATGAAGAAAGATGTAGTGAGGTGTACTAACAGGTTTGGGGTTGAAAAGTAGACTTTCTTCTAGGAAACCTCTCATACATTCTCTGCTAAATGATGCACAGGACAGGATAATTTCCTGAGTTTGTGTCTAGAGATTGATTGTATTTGTCACTAGTATTTATGTCTAACGTCAGGGAGAAGGTGATAAGGAAGAATGTACAGGCACTTCTGAATAATGATTTTATGTGATCTGGTTAGGAAAGAATCAAGCTGGGAAAGCCTCTCAGGAGGGAGAGAGACAGCACCTGGGCACCTGCCCCCAACTCCATACCTACAGTAGACTTTCATCCCTGATATGAGCGTGTGACAAACAGACGTTTGTTTGTTTGTTTGACACTGGAAATAAACCCAAAGCCTTCACACTGACCTGCATTCCCAGTGCTTTCTTTACCTTTTTATTTTGAGATAGTGTCTCACTAAGTTGCCCAGGCTAGGCTCACACTTAGGATCCTTCTGCCTCAGCTTCCCGTAGTGCTGGGATTACAGACATGTGCTACTGTGGCCAGCTGTTAAACAGTATTTATGGAATCTTTCAGTTGATAGATGAAAGACTGTAGAGCTCTATTGTAAGAAAACCCCGTATGGGAGCAAACAAAGCTCCAGCATGCCAGAGAGTACAGGGAGCATGCCCGAGTCAGGACTGTGCTCTGGAGCACCGGGCTCGGAAGGAGCGTCTACTCCTCTGCTCCCTCAGCAGCCCTTACGAGGGTGGTCTGGCTGTAGGTGCAAACGGGTGCACTCTGTCATGTCCAGACAACCCAGGCCTCTAATGTTTATGCGCTGCATGCTGTGGACCACACCCTGCTGTAAGCACCTAGCCCACACTACTGATTAAGTGACTGATTTTATTTAGATTGCACTGATGGTGATATAATGATAATTTACTGGGTACCTCTTTAGGTACTGGACTTTATGCTTCAGTTTTTTGTATGCATTAACTCCTCTGACCTTCACATTGGAAGATTGAAATTCTGACTTCTTATGCTCATTTTTTAGATAAAACTAAAGTTTATATGCATACACACATGCATATAAAATAGTTTCAGGGACCTAGATAGGATTTGTTGTCAAGTTTCCATGACTTTGAAAATATTTGAAAATCATCTCAGAACTTTTTATCCATCCCTTTTAGGAGGCAGCCTTCTAGGAGGAAGCCCTAATTGGCTACCCCATGCCAAAAATTGCCAGAAGATGGTCTTTGGAGTCCCTACAGCAGGATTTTCTTCCATATACTACAGCTGAAATTTGAAGAAATTTTAAAGACTTAGAATTATCCTTAAGTTTAAAAAAATGTATTAGTACTTGTTTCCAGTATATAATGTTGACATTCATCTGGGGATGCAGGTACATGTTATCTTAAAGGCTATGTCTTCTTGTTCTCTCAGAAGAAGGTTTAGCTCCTTTGCCTTTCAGTCCTGTTGATCTGTTGTAGTCCATCTGACCAGTTGTCCTATGCAAGCTCTGGGAGGACCCCAAGGAGTTCCTTGGAGGAAAAACTGCTCTACTTCAGGAAGATAGATATAAATTTTGTCTAGAGAAGCCCACACTGTCTTCCAAGAAATCCAACAGACTTCATTTTGATGCTCAGATAACAAAAGACTTTAACCAAAACTTCACTGGGAAAAATGAGAATACTGGCTTTGTTTATAGTACTGTTTTGTTGTCAGCTAAGCATTTTCAGCAGCCCCATTCTGCAGAATCCTTACTAAAATTACTAAGCCCTCTAGAAAAAAGAGCTCATTTTTCAGGGCCAGAGATGTCACCTTTCCTCCATGATCATCGGGGCCATTTCAGACCTTCCCTTCTCTCCTTGCCTTTGTGGGTTGGGGGAACACGGCCTCTCTGATTGACTGTGATAAGTACTTTTTTTCTTTTTGGTCCACAGGGAGAGTATGTGTCCTGTCTTCTCTCACTGCTTCGTCAGATGTGTGACACTCATTACCAGCATCTCCTGGATAACTTCCAGAGCAAAGATGAACTCAAGGTAGGTTGCAGAGCACTAGCCTCTTACCCAGAAAAGGAAGCGTGTAGCCAAGACTACCCAGGGGCTCTTACCTGCTGGGAGAGCGAGTTCAAGTGACCATCACTACCAGGGATATAATATTCACCAGCCTCGATTTCCACCTGAGTGTACAGTACCCAGAGGGTGAAAGTCACCACTGTCCCCACGTACAGTCCAGTAACACTGGCAAGTTCTCCCTGACCAAGAGCGGCTATGCGTCTGTCAGAGACTACTCTGGGCCGTGCTGATCCAACAAGCCAGGGCTCTTCCCGCTTTTAAGGACTCGGAAGTTCTTACATTTTGCCCCTGCAGGCTTGATTGTTTTTCTTTTCACTGTTTTTTTGTTTTTTTGGGTTTTTTTGTTTTTTTTTTTTTTGCTTTCTTTTATTTTTATTTTTTTTTATTTTAAAGAGAATAAAAATTGAAAGAACATTAAAAATGATACAAAATTTCATAACAAGATGTAGGAAATCAACAGTTTTTGTTATATTGCATATTTTTATCTTCACAGTAGTTGTTCAGATTACCAGATATAAGCATGCAAAATTGGTCAAATAAATTAAGAAAAATAAAAAATTAACATTAACTGTTCCTTTCCATAAACCAACAGAAATGAGTAGTACAGTTATCTTAGCTGTGCTTAGTAATACGATAGTCATGGTGACAATGTTTTTTCATTTAAATGTATCTCTGGAAGATGCCCGTAGAGAACTGGACCTTTGGCTGCCAGCCTCTGAATCCGGAGAACTGAGTGGCGGATAGTGCAGAAAAACCCAGGCAGTAGGCAAGCACTGCCAAGGCTGCGTTTGGCATCTGCTTCTGACACACTCCTGGGGTTCATGTTTTTGCACTAGAGCATGCTGAGTCAGCTATCCCCCAGTAAAGAGCTACTACAAACTGAAGGTGTATGCTCTGCTTTTATTCAGAACTAAATCACTTGCACTTCAGAGTAATACATTTCCAGTGTTTTCACTTGGATGGTCTTTATGGGCCGTATTGTATCAATTAATAAATACCAGTTCTAACTTTCTAGGGCCTGATCCTGCCATCTTTGCACAGACGTCGGTCTCTGCAGTTTGGTATCATTCACCCTTAAGTGAGCCAGAAGTAAGCTAGGGCCCGCATCCAGATCAAGCAGTGCTTCAGCGGGGTGTGCAGCAGGAAAGTTCCGACTCAGCTCTTCTAGATCATTTTTTCCTGCGTGTGCTTACTAACTGACCCTTGGCAGGCTGGTGTCATTCTTACATTTTAATTAAATGTTCATTTTTATTATAGCAATCTATGTCCAAGCTTTAAAAGGAAGAGCAATATTACAAAGCTTTAACAAACAGTGATTCCCTGTCTCAGCCTGACAAATGTCTATAGTCTATGCTCCCTAAGAGCACCCACTTTCAACTCTCGCTGTTCTTCAGGAAGCAACTACTGAGAATTTTTAGATATCAACAGTTATCTGTTTTCTTCTTTCCAAGGAAAATGAGAGGGATTCTCCTGAATCATTTCTCTCTCACACATACATTCTTTCCCCTCATTCTTCCAATGTCATTTTCATGCATCTTTGTCTAAACTGATTATCAGACTGCTTTACTACAGCTAAGTAAGTCCTGTGGTAAGCCAAGAACTGGACTATGACTGTAATTTCTTGTAAAACTTTATATCTTTATAGATATTAATTTTCTCTTTTCTAGTTTGCCTTTATTCTTTGCTTTGGCTTTCAAGTCTGGCTAGGACTCCCCACTCTTCATCTTGTCAGTGTATCCCTTCTTCCAGCCTTCCTCATTGTCAGAGCTGTCAGGCACTCTCAGAACGCGTCTTCTTCCTGAAGACTTGCCCTCTACTGTTTGTTTGCATCTTCCGTGTTGAAGACTTCCCTCCTGTGCATGGAGACTCCTGAATGTCAGGCTGTATCTGAAAGTGATGTCCTCTGGTGCTGAGAACAAATCCTCGTGTGTGAGAAAGGATTGTCTGTCACAGGCTTCTCTGTGGTGACTGAAGGGGATCTGGCCTTCAGTCAGAGCATCTCATAGCTGCTAAAACTGAAGGCCCATTCTGTTGGGCTTGAGAGGAATCCTCTACCTCAGCTGGGGATGGAATCACCCGCCAACACTTTGGGAGCCAGATAACAAAAAGGACTTTGGGTCTTCTGCTTCAGCAGGTAACTTCTTCTCAGCACCAGTTTTCATTCTGGTACCTCAGCCCTCACCTGTTAATGTACCTGCAAAGACAGCCCCCAGTGATCACCTAGCTCCAAAGAATAGTCTTGAGTCTTCTGACAGCGCAGGAAAAGGCTGACTACCTAGTGACATGAGATACCAGCAACAAAAGGGCCTGGAGAGACGGCACTAATCTTCCCGGGCTTTGGTCTGCACGTCCAGCCCCGCGGAGCTGTCTGGTGCTGCCTGTAGCTTGTGTGCCTCCCTGAGGCTCTTGCTTCCTGCCCCTGCTGCCCCACGAGGCTCTTAGCGGTGGCTCTCTCAGGCTGCTGAGTCAGTTGCTGCAGTCTGTTTCCGTGTGAATTTTCAGTCTGCGTTGCGTTCACTCGATAGTGTCTACGTCTGTCGTACTCTCCTTTATTCTGTGCATGTGTGTGTTCCCCCTTGCTCATGTTAGAAGAGCTGAAGAGCAGCAGACGGGGGCATGCTCAGTCCACCTCTCGGAGTGTGGAGCTCTGTTCCTGTCTTCTTATGACAGAGCTCTTCAGATAGACTTTTAATCCCATAGAGTTCACACTTTTAAAGTATGCGCTTCAGTGTCTCATACGCATTTTAAGTGTGTGACAAGAGTAAGTTAATAATTTCAAACTTCCAACAAAGAAAAGCCCAGGACCAAGTACTTTAATTGGTCAATTCAACTAAAAAACAAGTTTTTTTGGTACTGGGAATGGAACCCAGGGCCTTTGCACTGAACTACATCTCTAGCTCTTTTTTTATTTTTTACTTTGAGACAGCCTCACCAAGTTGCTAAGTTGCCCAGGCTAAGTTTAAATTGGGATCCTTCTGCCTCCGCCTCCCAGTGTGCTTGGATTACAGCATGTGCATCCGTACTCAGCTATGCCATATTTTCTTTCTCACCTCATCATTTGTTCTTGCATTATAGCAGTACGTGTTTGCAGCGCATCATGAGTACACTCGTCGTGGGGAGCTGCAATGTGCACCCCACACTGTGGGCTTTTCACCCCCTTCTCCCTCCCCCTCCCCATCACCAGATCCCTTTTCCACCTACAAAAGGTCACCTCCCTGTTTTCCCTCAGCTGCCTTTAATTTTTCTCTTTAAAGTGCCGACAAGGCTGCAGGGCAAAAGGAACTCTTCTACATTACTGGTGAGAATGTAAAACAGTGTAACCGCTCTGGAAATCAGTATGGAGATTCCTTTAAAAATTAAAAATAAAAATCCAATGTGATCCAGCTATTTGCCTTCTGGGTATCTTCCTGAAAGATTTAAGGAGATCATATTATAATGATACATGTCATACACACACAAATACAGTCCAACTGCACGGTACCATGGCACGCTATCACTGTACAGTGAGCACACAGAAGAAGCACAGTTGTGACAAAGTCCAGCAGACGGGTGAGCTACTTCCACACTTGGTGCGCATCTGTGCATGTCTGTAATGCAAGGTCTGTTCCTACCTGTGAAACACAGTTTGCAACTTCACTGTCCGTAATTCAGAGACGTACTGTGTTGTATGTGCTTTTCAAGTTTATCTCATTAAAAAGTAAAATATCCTTGCTCCAAAAAAAATGATACATGGATATCCATATTGATAGCAGCAACACTTGTGATAGCTAAATATTGGAAATGGCATATACATCCATCATCAGTGAGTGGATTAAGAAAGTGTGGTATTTATACACAGTGGAATACTACTTTGCTGTAAAGAAGGATAAACTTAAGTAATTTGTAGGATGTACCTTGATATCATAAGGTTAAGTGAAATAAATCAGACACATAAGTATTGTATGTTTTCTCTTACATAAGAAACCCAAAATACAAATAAATTAAAGAGAAAAATAAAAGATAATAAAAAACAGGGAGACAGAAAAAGAACTAAAAGAATAAGGAGAGGAGGAAAGGGTATGTAAAAAGAATTAAGGTATGTTGTGTACGTGTACCATCTCCCCATCACTATAATCACTATGTACTACAAACGTACCCATAAAAATAAATTTTTAAAAAATGAAGCATACTCAGGAAATAAATAAATAATTTGTTGTGCCCATATAAGCTAAACCATGTGATACTTAACCTTCTGTTTCTGGTTTATTTCCCTGAGCATTAGTATTTCAAGGTATATCCATTTTTCTATAAATGATTCAAATTTATACTTTTTATGGCTGAGTAGTATTCCATTATGTATATATAACACATCTTCTTTATTCATCTGTTAATAAGCATTATAAGCCATATCTAAGATGTAGCTGTTATGAGTTGCACTGCTATTAACATAATACTGTAATATGATGTCTTTAACTCTTTTGGGAAGACACCCAGAAGAGTTTATAGCTGGATCAAATGAAACTTCTATTTTTCATTTTTTGAAGAAATTTCATACTGATTTCCATAGTGTTGCACTAGTTTACGTTCCCACCAACAGTACAGAAGGGTTCTTTTTCCCCATATCTTGCTACCATGCATTGTTTTTGAGCTCATGAGTACAGACATTCTTTCTGGAATAAGACTGAATTTGTGTTGCTTTGACTTGCTTTTCTCTAATGGCCAGGGATGCTGAACATTTGTTCATGTACTTATTGGCCATTTGTACATCTTTTTTTTTTTTTTTTGGTTTTGGTTTTCCTCCGGTACCAGGAACCGAACTCACGACCTTGCGCTTGCCAGGCAGGCGCTTTTGCCGCTGAGCTAAATCCCCAGCCCCTGGCCATTTGTACATCTTCTGAGAGGTGTCAGTGTATTTCATTGTCCAATTTTTTTATTGGCTCTTTTATTTGGGGGCCAGTTATTTTATTATTTTTTATTTTGGACCA